GGGCGAGGGGGAGAGGGAGAGGGAGAAGCAGACTCCCCACTGAGCAGGGAGCCCGACGTGGGGCTCGATCCCAGGACCCTGAGATCACGACCTGAGCCGAAGGCAGACGCTTATGACTGAGCCACCCAGGCGCCTGAGGTGCCGTTTAAGAAAGTTTTGGCAAGGCCAAAGAAGAGTTCCCCAGCTAGAGTTGCGTATCAGGAGTCCTGTGTCTCTGGGCCTGCCCACGTGTCCCTGCTATACTTGCCATTGACTAGGAGCCCCTGTGGGAAAGTGGCCTTGGCATGCATGCCTTGGTGGAGTCAGGGGGCAGCCACAGGGGCTAAGTAGGCACCGCAGAGTTGGCGATCTGAGCAGTGCGTTTCTGGGGACGCCGTGATACGGCAATCAAAGCACACAGTGTTGGTAATGGGATGTATGCTGTACTAAGACCCGCACAAGGAGCCGTGGGGAACGCAGGAGCTATGGCTTACTTAACATTTAAGTTGAATCTTGAAGGATAAGTAGGAATTCATCCAGCGGACAGCATGGAGAGTATAATCTCATTTTTGTTAAAAGGAAAAAAATGTACCTATATGCGTATATATCTAAGTATATAAAATCTTTTTTTTTTTTTTTAATTTGACAGAGACACAGCGAGAGAGGGAACACAAGCAGGGGGTGTGGGAGCGGGAGAAGCAGGCTTCCCGTGGAGCAGGGAGCCTGGGATGCGGGGCTCGATCCCAGGACCCCGGGATCCTGACCTGAGCCGAAGGCAGACGCTCAATGACTGAGCCACCCAGGCGCCCCTGTATCTAAGTATATAGATATAGATAGATTTTTTTAATGTCTGGAGAACATTCATGTTAATCTGGGTTATCTTTGAGGGATTACGTTTTTTCTTCATCCTCTTAAAATTTAACAATAAATATATATACAGTTAAAAAATAAGTTATTGCTTATATGTCAATACCTTGGTGTTTTGTTGTTTTTTTTTTTTTAAGAGGAAAAACAGTAATTTCACTTAGCTCTATTCCATCTTAACCAAAGTCAACCATTTGGCTGTTTTCAGTATAGGTACCCAAATAAGGGATATTATGTTTAATACAAATGGTATAAATACGCTCCCCTCTCCCCGAGAAGCATTATGTAGATGTACAACTTGTTTCAAAAGTTAATTTATAACAGACTGGAGAAAAACATAGACAAAGCAGAGTCGGTAACTATAATTTATAAAATACTTAAGCAAATCAGTGAGGAATGCTGAGTCTGTTAGAAAAATGGGTGAAGAACTTGAGCAGATAGCTGACAAAAATAAGTAACAAAACTAAACTTTAAATTGCCATGAACTTGGGGTGCCTGGGTGGCTCAGTAGGTTAAGTGTCTGCCTTCGGCTCAGGTCATGATCCCGGGGTCCTGGGATCGAGCCCCGCATCGGGCTCCCTGCTCCACAGGAAGCCTGCTTCTCCCTCTCCCACTCCCCCTGCTTGTGTTCCCACTCTCTGTGTGTCTCTCTGTCAAATGAATAAATAAAATCTTTAAAAATAAATAAATAAATAAATTGCTGCAAACTTGAAAAAAATGTTCCAAGTCATTGGACAACAATGAACTATACAATTAAAGCAACAGTACGGAGGCACCTGAGTGGCTTAGTTGATTAAGCCTCCAACTTTTGGTTTCGACTCAGGTCATGATCTCAGGGTTGTGAGATTGAGCCCAGCATTGGGCTCCGCACTCAGCGTGGAGTCTGCTGGAGTTTCTTTTTTTTTTTTTTTTTAAAGATTTTATTTATTCATTTGAGACACAGAGATACAGAGAGAGAGAGCGCATGAGCAGTGGGAGAGGCAGAGGGAGAGGAAGAAGCAGACTTCCCGCTGAGTCAGGAGCCCGATGTGGGACTCGATCCCAGGACCCTGGGATCATGACCTGAGCCGAAGGCAGACGCTTAACCATCTGCTGCTGGAGTTTCTTTCACCCTCTCCCTCTACCCCTCCCCTGTGCTGTCTCACTCTCTAAAATAAATAAATCTTTAAAAAAATGCACAGAATTTTTAATAATGGTTAACTTCTGGGGAGTAAAATTTTGTGTTTTGTAGTTAACTCTTTAAAAAATAGTTTTATGAAAGTGATGGTGTGATCTCATGATTAAGAGCCAAGATGAATGATGTGGCTCAAAGTTCTGAGGGGAGTGTAAATAGAGTATGGTATTGGAGAAAGCTATGGGGACTGTGGGACTTGAACCCAAGGTCCTAAGTGTTTGTGTTCGGGAAGGTGTGATGGGATTGCATTTGAGGTAGGATGAAGACTGAAAGAATATGATTGAAAACACTAATGTGGTCGGGACAGTGAATGGATCCTGATCAGAGTATCTTCATAAGGTTGACTGTGGTAACCTTAGAAAGTCTAGCGTAGGCGATGCTGCATGTCTGTGATGTGATTAACATTTTCTATAAACAGTGCTGTTTGGCCGCTTTGAGAAGCAGTTGGTGTAGGGATCAAAAGTATGGGCTTTGGTGTCAGAATAGATGAAAAATCTGTCGCTTTCAACACATGTGACTTTGGGCAAGCGACTTACACTCTGTGTGCCTAGTTGTCACATCCACAAAACAGGGATGATATCAGCACCTACTTTATTTTGGGTTGTTGTGAAGATTAAGGGAAATACAAGTAGAGTGCTTGATATGGGGCCTGGCGTTTACTAAGCATTCAATAAACGTTTGCACTGTTGTTATTATTTGGAAAGAAAATAGATTGGATCTAGAGAAAATGAGTTTGGACCTATTACGGAAATTTGAAATGAGGGTGAGAACGTGCATCTTTATTCTAACTATAAAGCACAAACTTTTCATTTTCCCCAATATTTTTCTTAACCCCTATATTTACCTAGTGTCTCTATATTATTTTTTCCTTCTCTGTTTCCTAAGATTCTGAAAATCGTCCAAGATATATTCATATTGTTTATAGTCATTTCTACCTCTCTTCCTGCCTCAGTCCCAAATAGGACAGCTTCCTGTATTGCAAACGGGACACATTGTATTTGTTATTTCTTTTAGAGGGTGAACCCAGAGGTGAACTGAAGGAATCCTCTCGAAATCAAGATGTTCTTCTGGAAGAATCAACTTTAGATAAAATAATAGAAAGATGCCTAATGGGTGCTAATTATGGCTTGATGGGAGAGTCCTGGAAACGTAGCAGTAAGGAATATTCGCAAGTCGCAGGCACACAAAAGAAAACTCATGGGAGAGTTAGTAAGGGTGAGGAATTTGACCCAGAAAAGAGCCCCTTTGGAAGTAATTTCAAGCAAACCTCGGAAATAATTAAACATCTGAGAGTCTACTTAAGGAAGAAATCTCGGAGGTATAATGAATGCAAGAAACCCTTCAGTTTTCATTCAGACCTTATTCTGAACCGCAAAGAACACACTGGAGAGAAGCCATGGAAATGTAATGAAGGCAGGAAAGTCTTAGGTCACTCTTCCTCCCTAACTGAACATCAGAAACATCAGAAAATGCATTTGGGGGGGAAGACCCAGAAGTGCACTAATTGTGGGATAGCCTTTACGCGGAGCTCATCCCTTAAGAGAAAAAACTCCTCTATGTGTGAAAAATGTTGGAAAAATTTAAATCAAGATGCAACCTCAGATAAAGATGAGGGAGCTGAGACGGGAGAGAAGACCCATAAATGTAGCAAATGTGGAAAAGCCTTTGGCTACAGTGCCTCACTGACCAAACATAGGAGAATTCACACAGGGGAGAAACCCTACATGTGCAATGAATGTGGAAAAGCTTTCAGTGACAGTTCATCTCTCACGCCACATCACAGAACTCACAGTGGAGAGAAACCCTACAAATGCGATGATTGTGGAAAAGCTTTCACCCTGAGTGCCCACCTCATCAAACATCAGAGAGTTCATACTGGAGAAAAACCCTATAAATGTAAAGAATGCGGGAGACCCTTCAGTGATAGTTCCTCTCTTATTCAACATCAGCGAATTCATACCGGAGAAAAACCCTACACGTGTAACAACTGCGGAAAATCCTTCAGTCACAGCTCGTCCCTTTCCAAACATCAGAGGATTCATACTGGAGAGAAGCCCTATAAATGCGGTGAATGTGGAAAAGCCTTTAGACAGAATTCTTGCCTTACTCGACATCAGAGGATCCACACTGGAGAAAAACCCTATTTGTGTAATGACTGCGGGATGACATTCAGCCATTTTACGTCTGTCATTTATCATCAGAGACTTCATTCAGGAGAAAAACCCTACAAGTGTAACCAGTGTGAGAAAGCCTTCCCTACCCATTCACTTCTCAGTCGTCATCAGAGAATTCATACTGGCGTAAAACCATATAAATGTAAAGAATGTGGGAAATCTTTCAGTCAGAGTTCATCTCTTAACGAGCATCATCGAATTCATACCGGAGAGAAGCCCTATGAATGTAACTACTGTGGAGCAACCTTCAGCCGGAGCTCAATCCTTGTAGAACACCTAAAAATCCACACCGGAAGGAGAGAATATGAATGTAACGAATGTGAAAAGACATTTAAGAGTAACTCAGGCCTCATCAGACATCGGGGATTTCATTCTGGAGAGTAATTCTTGAAATACAGTAAGGTGGGTTGGGGGGGGTGTGTGTGGAATCTCATCACATTGTCCCTTATTAAAAACCCAGGGTGTAAACTACCACAGCATTGATCAGTAGCTACCACTCTAAAGGGTTGGCGGCTGGGAAAAACACTCTTTGCCACTTACCACTCTCCTTTGGTAGATCATAAGTAGGGTTGGTAAAGTCCCGTGGAAAATGAAGAAAGCAGGATGAGATGGGCAATGGTTCTAAAAGGCCAAGTGCAGATTTAAAAAGCAAGAGGAGGTGCACGGGACCCACTGACAAACCTTTTTTCTTCGATAGATTTCCCTCTTCTAGCTTCTAGCAAGAACTGGTCTCAAGTCATAACCTAGGTTCTGGGTTCTGGCCCAGTTTGCCAGCCAGCTCACTATATAACTTTGGGCACATCATTTGACTTTTCTAAATTTGAGTTTTCTTTACTGGTGGCACGAGGGGGGGTGTCACGATATCCAATTTTACTTCCGATCCTCTCTGAAGCTGTGGGAATAAGTGAAACGCTTTTGGTTCATTGGAATTTTCAAGTTTCTCTAGTAGAAAAGCACTCATTTAAGATCCTGAACTGAGAATGCAGTATACTTGTTGAATGCCTCACACCGGAATCCCTAGAATATCAACAGGAACGAGTCGGTGGAGCTCACACGTGTGTGTCTTCAGGGAATGTTTTAACTGGACAAAGTACCCCAACCTGTTTTTCCCTCTGGGCTTTGACTGAGGGGATTAGGAATCTAGAGGGCATATGTTGGAACCATCTCAGCCATGAGAGTACCAGTCCTAGGAAAATGGGTTGGGGGCTGGGGAGGGGGGTGGTGGGGAAGGAAACGGGTGCTGAAAATAGAGCTCTTCTGGATGGACTACCTTTTGCAAAATAGAATTCTATTTTTTTAAAAGTTTGTTTATCCTAAGTACTGCCCCGTGTAATCGGAGTGCAAACGTTGTGTATGGCAAAGGTCACAAACTAGGATTGGGCCATTTGATATGTTTTGGTTGGTCTGCATGGTAAGGGGAGTGTGTGTGTGTGTGTGTGTGTGTGTGTGTAACTAGTAGTCACCATTTAAAAATTAGATTTCATACCAAAAAAAAAAAAGGCTTGCCTTGAAAAATTATATAATAGGGCTGACAACTGGCCCATATTTCAGTGGAGAAGTCAGCTGGTTTGGGCTAGCACCACTGCCTTTACACAGGGAATCGACTCTTCTGCTGGCCAGGTTCTCTGATCTACAGGACCCGACTTACGCCACTATAGGAACTTGATCCTATGGTCCCCTACCATCTGGAGAATACATATTCTAAAGTCTAAAGAGACTCCATTGATAGTAAAATTCAGGAAAAGAATGTAGAAATCCCACAAAATAACTTCTCAGTTAAGTGTTTTTTGTTGTGAAAATTAGACCTGAAAATAAGAGTGAGCAGATATTAGTGGATTATTTCTTATGATGAATCTCATTCATTGGTGGAGTGTGAATAATTTCTGACTGAAAAAGGCATTAAAACCCTGAGTCAGGTTTAGGTCTCAAGCCCTAGGGTTCTGGAGGCACCCTACTGATTGAACAATGGTACCAAAAAGTTCATAAGGTTGAAATTTGAGGTAGCTCCTATATACATGAGAACGAAAACAGAACAGTTTTGGCTTACGGAAGTGAAGAGATCCTTAATGCTGATGGGAGACTCAGCAGTATTTGCTGTGATTTAATGGGTGTAGGTTTGCAGTGCTACCTCTGGATAATGCTTTTGGTTTCTTCCTTATACCTCCTCCCCCCCAAAAAGCTTGTAGTTCGGATATTGCTGTGTGGTAAATTGATCTGCATAGTTATTGCTAAATGAACCAACCAGAGACATTCTAGCCATGAAAGGAATATGGCTTAGAATCATTCATCTGGTCTTAAGTTTTTTTCCAAACATATATAAACCCTGATTTGTTTTTTTTTTTTTAAAGATACAATTTATAGAGAAATACGTAAAATTCTTGAGAAGAGGCTTCTTCCAGGATGTTTACTGGTTATAGCCTCCAGCATTTATACACCAGGACCAGTTGGGTATCTGGAACATAGTTTTTTTTTAACAAGTTTATTGGGGTATAAATTACAGATAAAAGTCATTTCAATTATACAATTCAGTGACTTTTGGCATATTCACTGAGTTGCACAATCATCATAACCCATTTTTGGAACGTTTTATAACCTCAGTAAGATCCCTCATGCCTGTTTCCGGTTAACCCCCATTCCTACACCTAGTCTCAGGCAATCACTCATCAGTTTACACTCTGTCTTGAGAGTTGCCTTTTCTGGACATTTTATACAAATGGGATCATGTGTGGTCTTGTGTTTTTCGTTAACGTATTTTCTAAGTTCATGTTGTAGCGCATCAGGCCTTTATTTTTATTGTTAAATGATACCCTATTTTATGGGTATACCATATTTTGCCCATTCACCAGTTGAAGGACGTTGGGGTTGTTTAGTTTTTGGCTGTTCAAAATAATGTTGCTTTGAACATTGATGAGCACGTCTTTCTGTAGACACATTTTCATTGTTCTTAGGTAGTGCCTGAGTGGCTGGCTCATAGGGTAAATTTTTGTTTAACTTTTTAGGAAATTGCCAAATTGTTTTCCAGGTGAGTACATCATTTTTCAGTCTGAGCAGCACTGTATGATCCCCTACAATCTGGGGAATATATATCTTAAAATCTAAAGAGACTCCACTGATAGTAAGTGAAATTCAGGAAAAGAACATAAAAAACCATAGAGAGTGACTTTTCAGTTAAATTTTCTTTGTGAAATTAGACCTCAGAGGAATAGAGTGTGCAGATACTAGTGGATTATTTAAGAATTTCATTGGCAAAGTCTGAATAATAATTTCTAAATGAAAAGGTAGCTAAAGCCCTGAGTCAATCAGGTTTCTCTACATCGTCACCAACCCTTGTGATATTGTCTGTCTTTTTCATTATAGCCGTTCTAAGGGTTGAAACGGTATCTCTTTGTGGTTTTAATTTGCATTTCCCTGATGGCTAGTGATGTTGAGAATCTTTTCATGTGCCCTGTAGCTATTCATAGATCTTCTTCGGAAAAAGGTTTATTCAAGTGTTTTTTTCCATTTAAAGAATTGCGTTTATTGAGTTGTATTTTTTATTCTATGTAAAAGTCCTTTCTCCAGTATGGAGAAATACTAGCCACAGAGAGCAGCCTCTAGTCCTGCTGCATGATATTTATCAAAAGTTTGTTTTCAGTAACTACTTATGTATAATTGCCTAAAGTATATTTGATGCAGGCCATCATCTAAGTACTTTAAATTCATTTTTTATGTCCTATCAGATCATCAAGAGATTTTAAACTTGTTTTGATTTCTTATAGAACTGATCTTATTAACTATTAACTAAATTAATAGTATTTAATAATACTATTAAAACCAGTTAGACTTTATGCTCTTTATGTACATTGACAGATATTAAAATCAGCCCTTTAACACATTCTACTTTAAAATGAAGACCTGTTTTTCAAAAATGTTTCTTAATGAGTTTCCACTGAAGAAACTTCTCTCAGGTCACAGGACAGGATAAAGCTTCTCCTGTCAGTGAATCTCCTTTTATTTCCTTATTTTTGAATTAGTTTCTAATGTGGCAAAATATACATAACCTAAAATGGACCATTTTAACCCTTTCTGGGAGTACAACTCAGTGATATTCGTGTTGTTGTATAATCATCACCACTGTCCATCTCCAGAACTTGTCTGTCATCGCAAACTGAAACTCATTAAACAATAACCCCTCATTCTGTCCTGCCCCCAGCCCCTGGTGACCACTCTTCTGCTTTCTGTCTCTGAATTTGGGTATTCTAGGCACCTCCTATAAATGGAATCATTGAATATTTGTCCTTTTTTGTCTGGCTTCTTTCACTTAGCAAAATGTTTTTAAGGTTCATGTTGTAGCAGGTGTCAGAATTTCATTCCTTTTCAAGCCCGAATAATATTCCATCGTACGTCTATACCACATTTTGTTCATTCATCCGTCAACGGACATTTGGGTTATTTCCACCATTTTGACTATTGTTAGTGATGTAAAATAGCAGAGTCCCTGTTTTCAGTTCTTCACAGATGTTGTCAATGGCGTCTAGAGTGGAGACTCTTCCCGGAAGGTTTTTAGTTCACTTTCCCGAGATCCAATGGAGGAATCACTATCTATGGCAGCTGTAGCCTTACGAGATTTTCTCTTTTTTTTTTTTTTTTTAAGATTTTATTTATTTATTTGAGAGAGAGAATGAGAGAGAGAGAGAGGCATGAGAGGGAGGAGGGTCAGAGGGAGAAGCAGACTCCCCGCTGAGCAGGGAGCCCGATGTGGGACTCGATCCCAGGACTCCAGGATCATGACCTGAGCCGAAGGCAGTCGCTTAACCAACTGAGCCACCCAGGCGCCCGAGATGTATCTCTTATAAGACCTGAAAGTTGAAGTCAGTCCTTGATGCAGGGACTGCAGAGAGGATATTTTGTCAGCAGTGATGAAAACCACAACCTTGTACATCTTCATCAGAGCCCTTGGGTGACCAGGTCAATTACCATGAGCAGTAATATTTTGAAAGGGATTTTTTTTTTTTTTCTGAGCAGTAGGTCTCAATAGTGGGCTTACAAAATTCAGTAAAAACCATGTTGTAAACAGATGTGTTGTCATCTGGGTCTTGTCGTTCCATGTATAGAGCACAGGCAGAGAAGATTCAGCATAATTCTTAAGGGCCCTGGGATTTTCAAAATGGTAAATTAGCATTGGTTGTAACTTCAAGTCACCAACTGCATTAGGGCCTAACAAGAGAGTCAGCCTTCCTTTTGAAGCCAGGCACTGACTTCTCTCTAGTTAGGAAAGTCCTAGATAGTGTTTATCAGGCTCTTTGGTCTGCACCGAAAATCTGTTGTTTGGTGTAGCCACCTTCATTAATTAGCTAGATCTTCTGGATAACTTGCTGCTGCTTTGCTGTTTATGTTATGAAGGCGCCTTCTTTCCTTAAATCTCATGAACCAATCCCTGCTCCCTTTGAATTTTTCTTCTGCAGCTTCCTTACCTCTCTCAGCCTTCATGGAATTCAGGAGAGTTAGGGCCTTGCTCTGGATTAGGCTTTGGCTTAAGGGAATGTTGTGATTGGTTTGATCTCTCCAGACCACTCAAACTTTCTCCCTATTACTAAGAAGGGTGTTTTGCTTTCTGATCATTCATGTGTTCATTGGAGTAGCACATTTAATTTCCTTCAAAAACTTTTCCTTTGCGTTCACAACTTGGCTAACTGATGCAAGAGGCCTAGCTTTTGGCCGGTCAGCTTTCAACATGCCTTCCTTACTAAGCTTAATCATTTCTGGTTTTTTGACTTAAAGGGAGAAATGTGTGACTCTTCCTTTCACTTGAGCCCTTAGAGGCCACTGTAGGGTTATTAATTGGTCTCATTTCAGTATTGTTGTGTCTCAGGGAATCAGAGGTCCGAGGAGAAGAAGAGACACCCGGGGACAGTGGGTCGATGGAGCAGTCAGAACACACACATTTATCAGTCAAGTTCACTGTCTTGTATGGGTGTGGTTCGTGATGCCCCAAAACAATACAGTAGTAACATCAAGGATCACTGATCACAGAACATCATAACAGAGATGGTAATAATAACTGAAAAGTTTGAAATATTGTGCGAATTCCCAGAAAACATGACACATAAAGTGAGCAAATGCTATGGGGAAAATGGTGCCAGTAGACTTGCTCAATACAAGGTTGCCACAAACTTTCAATTTGTGTAACACAAGCACAAAACCACACACAGAATATCTGTGAAGCACAATAAGATATGCCTCTATTTTTGCAAATGCTACAAACATTCATTAATGCTTAGTATATACAATGCACTTTAAGAGATGAGATGAATAGTACACATTCTCCCCCCTGTAGAAACCCAGTGGGATGTGTAAGACTGATGTGTATTGGGGGGTGGGTAGGATGCAGGTCAGCGTAGGATTGCAGCTAACAGCTAAAATGAGCTGTGTGCAGTGCTAAAAATGCAGTGTAAACCTAGTAGGTGGGAGCACATGGGAAAGTGACTGACAACTTGGGGGTAGGAGTCGGTTGCACCCTGTGTTGCCACAGTTCAGGCTCCACATCATAACGACCTTTTTTCCGAGCCCTTTTGAGGAGTTGTGTTTTATTACCAGGGCAGTGGAGAACCCCTGGAGGTGGTTCTCTGTGTGTGTATTACCTGATAGAGACTTCTATTTTTGTTGTTTCTTGTTTTGTGTGTTCCTCAGAATTGTTTCTCTGAGGTGGAACTGCTTGATGAAAAGGGAGACATTTTCAGATTCTGAAAATGTACTGTCAAATTGTTGTCTATAAAGTACAGCACTTTCATAGGGTCTCTCCTTTATGTGGAAATATGGATGTCTATAAAGGTCTGACCTAAGGAAGCTTTTCCCGAAACCAGGGCACTTGTGAGGTGTCTCCTGAGTTAATCTGGTGCTTAGGTAGTTGGAAATTACTAGAAAAGTATTTTCTATCCTGAGAGCATTGGTGAGATCTCTCTGCTGGACTCTCTCAAGTTCTAAGGTCGAGCGATTTTTCCAGGTTGGAGTCCTCAAGTGTCTCTACCTATAGAGTGGTTCCGATAATCTACAAACTTTGCCAAATCTGTCGGTAGCTCTTCTGGGGGTTCTGGCCATTGGTATTCAAGATGTTGAATTCAAGGAACCAAGAAGAACATTCCCCTCTAAAGTAGTAATTCATAGATGCCTAGTCTCTGTTTTTTTCTGCCTTGAAGAATCTTCTTCATTTTCTCACTTGATCTGCCAGCCCCATCAGAACCTTCCTTTCCGCTCGTGAAGCATCTTTAAGCCTGTTGGTTTAAAGTTTTTGTTTAGCAAGTCTGGCCTCTGGGCTTCCCAGGCTACATTTTCTGTTGATGTGTTTTATTCCTTCAAATGGGCCTTACTTTTCTGTTTCTTGGTATGCCTTGTGATTTTTTTTGTTGAAAACTCGACATTTGAATCTTCTAGTTTGGTAGCTCTGGAAATCAGGCTTTCCCTCTTTTCAGAGTTTATTGTCTTTTTGATTGTTTTAGGGTATCTCTGTGCTGGGGATCAGTCTGTGGTGAATGCTTAAAATTTTCTGACTCTATATTTCCCTGGGCAGAGGCCATGGTTTTCTAAATTCTCTAAATTATGTGATTTTTTTTTCAATGTCCAGGAAAACCAGGTGCTGTCCCTTAATTCCTCTGGAAGCTACTTTAGCCAGTGGGGGTTGGAAGAATGGTGGCTGGCTTCTGTATCTGCCCTTCTTTCATGATCAAAAGCAGCCACCCACTTTCAGAACCCAGAACTCCGATATTTAGAGGCAAAGGTTTTTCTTGCCTACTCTGGCTCCAGCAAGGCAAACTACAGATGTGGGTTTCATCTTCTGGGCAAAGGCTGGGTGGCTTCTACTGTCCCGAAGGCTAACATCCATCATTAATCATTGCAGTTTACCAGTCAGGGTTTCCCCTGGGAACTCTTAAGTTTTCAAGTAGACATCCTGTATTCCAGAGTAATCACTAGATACCTTCTTCCAGTACAATTGTTGTCTAGGTGGCGAGATGGACTCCTGCGCTTCCTACTCTCCCCATCTTCCCTGACATCACTTACTCCACATCTTTGATCCTTTTTTTTTCTTAAAGATTTTGTTTACTTGACAAAGAGAGATACAGTGAGAGAGGGAACACAAGCAGGGGGAGTGGGAGAGGGAGAAGCAGACCTCCCGCTGAGCAGGGAGCCCGATGTGGGGCTCGATCCTAGGACCCTGGGATCATGACCTGAGCCAAGGCAGCCGGCCGCTTAACGACTGAGCTACCCAGGCGCCCCCACATCTTTGATCTTAAGATAGCTTTCTGAAAAACAAAACAAAAAAAACCAAAAAGATAGCTTTCTGGAAAATTTTTTCAGCTTTATCTTCCAACTCTACTACTAAATGTTTTGAATGTTTTATTACTGTTGTCACATTTATAATTCTAAGTGCATTTTCTGATTCTCTTTTTTTTTATAATCTGTTTTTGTTTTGTGGGTGAGTTTTTTTTTCCCTCTGAAGATGCTAATACAGTGTCTTTCCATGTTATTCTGCTCCCTGCATTATGTCTTTCCTCTGGGTGGTTTTTAACCTATTTTCTCTCTCTCTCATTGGAGGCTTTCCTCACATTTCTGGCGATCTTTGTTCACATTTAAGAAAAGGGCTCTAAAAAGTTGAATGGAAGGTGTTTTAGTTACTACAGCACTGTCCAAGAGGAACATAATGTGAGCCACATACGTAATTTCAGATTTTCTAATAGCTACTTTTAAAAAGCAAAGCAGATGAAGTTAATATATTTTATTTTACCCAATAGAGACATAGTATTTCAACATAATTTTAACCAGTGTAAAACTTACTGATGAGACATTTTATATTATTTTTTGCATTGTCTTCAAAGCCCATTGTGTATTTTATAAACGTTGCAGCACATTTTAATCCATTCACTAAATTTTCATCAGTTATTTGATCCATTTTTAGATTTATAAAACTTAGCATTGAAAAGTAGATTCGCATAGTTCTTCCAAACATATCTTGTTATTCTACATACACTTAAAATTTTTCCAATAACTGCATCAAGCATCAAAAGAATTACTTTGATATTTGTATCCACATTGACAAAACTGTTCATCTTTTTACTGGAAGAATTGATTTGATTCTGAAGCAAAAGCGTATCATTTTGAAAACTATTTCAAGTAAATTCACTAACTCTTAGGTCAACTCAGTAGTAACATCAAATTTGGCATAAGGTATTGCATAAAATGGAAACAAAACTAAACTTATCCATATCAACAAACCAGTCTT